GAGAGAGAGAGAGAGAGAGAGAGAGAGAGAGAGAGAGAGAGAGAGAGAACCCTCCCCGCGCCCTTGAATTTTGTTGTTTCTTTTCTTTTTTCTTTTCTTGTTTTTTGAAGTGGTATCTCGTTTTTTTTTTTTTGGTTATTTTATTTTCTAAAGAAAAAGAGCTCCTACTGGTCCTTCAACTCCCCGACCCCCGAAAGTCGCAGCGCGTTAACGGCCGCGACTTTTTTCTATAGTTGGGTGAGGTACTAGTGGTTTAACGGCCACGTCGGCTTTTTCAAGCTGGGCGATGTACTGGTGGTTTAACTGTGCAAATGAAGAATGAATGAAAATACACACTGCAGTTGCGATATACCCCCAGCGGACTGACTGGATTGGACTGGCCTCGTATCGACAGTGGTACCGGGCAGGACTGGACTGGACTGAATATCCATGTGGCCTGTGAGATCAGGCCAACGACCTGGTCCCACAGGCCGAATAGGCAAATAGCCCTGGCTATAGGCCAGGGTAGGTAGAGTCCACTGCCATGCACTGGACTGGATTTTCTCTGGATTTTCACTTTTATCCATCTTCTGATCTCATCAGGTAGTGGTCTTGATATTATGGGTTGTTTTGCTATTTTTCAAACAGTAGACCTTTCAACCACTTTGCTTGTGTTCAACTCGTGATCTGTTCATCAGTGACCCCATGTGTGCAGAGCATTCAGCCACATGCACTGGGTGGGAGGACACCGAGGCAGCGGAAACACACTCAGGAGGCAGCGGAAACACACTCAGGAGGCCGCCGAGGCCGCTGAACCCCCCCCTCCTACGAGGGTTGTGATTCATTGATGAACTTCGATCTGAACTAATATGTCTTCATACACATCACAATGTTTTGATTCAAGCAAGACTCAGACTTCATTTAATGCAGAGCTATAGTGATCTTGTTGTTGTCTTATAGATCAACTATTAGGGGTTCTCCATGATGTATGGAGAAGCACATTATCGCAAGCTAATCAGATTGGCTAATCAATGCCAGGTTCGGCCCCTGCATAACTTTTGGACTGTTGTCCATATGTCATGTCAGACTGCAAATTTTTCGCATTGCTATTTTTTTGTTTTACAAAAGAAGGAGAAGGGAGAGCAGGATTGACGAACGAGGGGCCATACCTCGTTGTGTGCATGCAGGAGCACAGGCGTGTTGCGGATAGGCGTGAAGCCTAGCGTAGGGACGCCTGCTGCCCTCAGATATCGTGCGTCTGTGCTGGCCACGAAGATTCCTGGCTTTGACAATGGCACCCCTGACTTCTCCACGGCCTTCCGGAAGACATCCCAGTATGGGTTCGAGTCGTCCACTGCAGTGATCAGAGGCTTGCCACCTTTGCCCCTGACCACTCCTTGAGCAACAGCGAAACTCATATTCCGGTGCTCGGGGGCCCACTCTACCTCGACACGCCTTCTGAAGGCTTCCACATCCGCAGTCGGTGGCAGCCTGAAGTCTATTCCGGCTACAGCCTCTGAAGGCTGCACATTGATCACTGGACCCTGAACAACAACCACCACCACCACAACAACAACAAAAACAACAACAGTATGCGTAAATATAGCACAAATTCAAATCCAAGCGGGAGAACAAGCAATGCCCACATCCAGAATCCAGGAGGGAAACAGCTGCGAAGAGTGATGCTACTGTGCAGATCGAGGCTGCACCAGCACCATTCAGGCAAGTGGTACCTGACACATTACGGAGTTCGTATCAGCAAGAAGGAAAAGAATACCAACGGGCATAGCTCAGTTGCAACACACAGACCTGAGTTCGAATCCAGATGGAACCAGACGAATGAAATAAGATGCTTCTGATTTACCTGTGCCGGTTAGTTTGACGATGAGGAAACGACCAACCGGGTGGCTGTGGTCAAAGGAAGGGAAGGATGTTTCGCTGCTCAGGCACCAGGCGAACTGTCCGAAGAAGAGCAACCTGCGATGCACAGCGATGCACAAGTTGGCGAAAAGGCGAGAGTGGTGATATAGCCTTAGATTCGCACCAATCCGCAAGCAGAATTTTGCTAGCCTGCCTGCGATCGAGCTCCGGGCCAGTGCAGCTGTGCTAAGGAAGTCAATCGTCTGTCTACGGAAGAAAGCACAATGCGCATCTTGCACGACCTGGTTCACGCACACCCTGGAGGAGAAGAAGGACAAGGGCACCTCCAGCGCCCCTACAGCATCTCCCCCGCTTGCTCAACGCCCAGCGTCCCCCTCTCCTCCCTATGCCTCCCTTTGCCCACCCGCTGACCTCCACCAGACCCCCTGCGGCCACCAATCCTCCCGGTGCCGCCAAACCTCATTCCAACCCAATCTCCGCCCAAGCTCGGTCAAGAGAGAGAGAGCCGATGCATGGCGCACGAGATGGAGACACAGAGAGAGAGAGAGAGAGAGAGAGAGAGAGAGAGAGAGAGAGAGAGAGAGAGAGAGACAGACGATGGAGATCTATTTCTGTTTTTTTTTGTCTGGATTTTTTTTGTGCACGAAGCCGCAACAGGTCAACGAGTATAACTCTCTCTCTCGCGCGCGCGCTTTTTCTTTCTCCTCTCCTTTTCCACGTATCTTCTCATTTCGTTCTCACCTGGGGTCCTTCTTTGCCAGCCCGCAAGAAGTCCACGTTGGCCGAAATGACTTCGCCCAATTCTGCTTTTCCTGACTTGACGAGTTCAAACTGGGACCGTCGAAATTCCAATATGGCGTTCAACGACCGAATGAGATTCTCCGTGGCGCTCCCATCGTACATCATCGACCCGTGACCTGGCTTCCCCTTGGCGGTAATCATCACCCAAAACCCCCCCCTCTCGGCATTAAACACCTTGTAATCCGACCCCTCGGAGGGGAGTCCTTCATCGAGGGCGAAGCCCACGCCGAGGCTGTCGAAGCCTTCCCACTTCACCAGCTTCTCCATCCCGTCGTGCCCACCTATCTCTTCATCTGGCACAAACGACAAATGCACCGTCCGCAACGGTTCGAATCCCGCTCCCGTCCCCGCTTCCCCCGCTTCCTTGCCGCTCCCCTTCCCGCGCAGCACGCGGATCGCCTCCAAGTACTGCATCCCGACACTCTTCATATCTTGCGCCCCGCGTGCGTACACGTTTCCCTCCGCGGTTCGCACAGCCGCAAACGGGTCATGAAACCATTTGTCATTTTCGACGGGGACAACGTCCACGTGGGAATTCAGCAAAATCGACGGCAGTTGAGTGTCCTTGCCTTGCCACGTCATCAAGATGACCGGTTTTCCGGGGACGAGATCGATCCGCTGCGCTTTCAGACCGATCTCCTCCGCCTGCGCGAAGAGGAACGCCGCCGCCTCTTCATAGTTAGGTTTCGGTTGCTCCGTGTGGATCGACAGATACTTCCTGAACCTTTCGATTGCCGCCTCCCTCTCCTCCTCCTCCTCCTGCGCCGCGGCCGCCGCCACCCCAGCAAACCCAGATCCCCCTTCCCCCCTTGCTTCCGCTGCTTCTGCGACGGGCAGCAATGTGTGCTGAGACTGCGAAGCGCATGTCACAACCAGCAGAACAAACAGAAGAGGAAGGATCACAACACCCTGGCGTGACCGTTGCGGCTTGCTGCGTCGATCCGCCGCCATCTCTCCACGTCTCATCGTTGTCGTCATCATCTCCTTCCTTCCTTTCAGACTACGGAGGATTGCAACGAACGAGCTCAGTCGATATAGTCGATGGGAAGGGTTGCGTTCTATTTGATTGATCGGTGACACCTCAGCAGGTAAGAGAACGCAGAGAGCGAAGTAATACGCAACAAGTTGAAGCACTACAACACAAAACCGCCCAAGAAGACGAAACAAGAAGTGAACGCTTGCGGAAACGGTAGCCAGTGATACTTGTCGTTCTGGGAGCATTATTTTCAGCGGCGGAAGATCCGCGCACAAAGGAAAAAGTGAGCGTTTACCAAGCCCATGAGGCTGAATGGTACACCCGTGAACTGTCTGAAGAATTCGAATCGTGATAAATCTCAATGATACCTCAAGCCCCTCGCTCTTTCTATTTCAAAAAGAATGGACGTTAAAAATAGAACAGACAAAGGACTTATGAATTGGACTACCGTGCCATCCGGCCCAGTTCAACAACCGACCGATCATCTACCATTTCTTTCTTTTTTTTTTTTTTTTTTTTTTCGTTTTTTTTTTTATCGACCTTTTTTTTTTTTTCTTTTTTTTTCAATCGACCATTTCTCGATTGATGCGTTTCATCCTTGCGCAGGGGCCATGCATCGGACCATTTCCCGATTGATGCGTTTCATCGAAAATTTTCGATAGGTGTCAGACATGGGAATTCGATAGCCCTATCGAACGAAATGTGCACGTCCGCCTGCAATCGCCTTCTCTTCGATAGCCCACAAACGGCCCACACACGCGCTAGAGGACAGGACCCACACACAAACGACAGACAGTCGAAAGCGGACCCAGAACGGAAAACATTCGATACCCCACCGATTCGATAGTGCTGTCTGGCGGAGGCCGGAGACCTCACAATTCGACCCGGGGTATCTGACAGCATCAGCCAGCTTAGCTTACAGGGGTGAGCCTGCGAAAGGTACCACTGGTAGCCTAACCATTGTCCTTGGTACTGTACTAAGGACTAATGCAAATGAATCTGGCCAGATCTAAAAGTCGCAATATCCTGTCATACAATGACGCCACATGTTGGTTCTGTTCTCCACACGGTATCTGTGTCCAGGGGACAAGAAGTTACCTCTGGAATGAGTGAGCCTAATCTACCCTACTTCTGGGACTAACTCGGCCCAGAGGACTTGGTCCTACCCCTACTGACACTCCCCTATCGGCCCACTGCGACCCTATTCAACCGAGTGCCCTGGTTGGTACTGAGTTCACCTATCTAAGGTCTGTCCACTTCGCTTTTCCTACCTTCCTCTAGCACCCACTTGGAGATGGTTAGGCCCCGGCTGGAGTGTACTGCGGCCAACCGATTACCTCGAGCCCACGAGCGAAGGAACCAGAGCTTCTGTTTTCTGTTAACCTTCCAGGCTTTCGCCGCCAATCGATCCTGATTGCATGTTTGAGCCCTGTCTTGATCCTGCTCTTTATCTCCACGTCAGACATAGGGCGTTTATCAAATCTTGCCCTGTTTCTGTCTGCCCAAATCACCTCACAGATTATGCCCCTTACTACGTGAGCAACGTATCCCCATCCCTTCTTCCCTTGCAGGCTGCTGGGTAGGAAGCCCAGTAGTACCCAGTGTTCTCTCCAGTCCAGTTGCCCAGCTCCCATCTCCTTCCAATGATCCGCCCACCACAACCAAATGCGTTTGGAGGCTGGGCACTCCCACCACAGATGTTTTGTGGATTCAAATGGCCAACGACATCTGGAGCAGCCCAGCTTCACCTCCACCCCTCGACTCAGCAGCCATACTGTGACGTGCAACCTCACGCCCTGTGCTGTCTTCCGTTCGGAGTGTTAGTCATGCGGAAAGAGGCCCAGAAAAACAGCAAGATGGGGTGTGCCAAGGATTTTTGGAAATTGAGTGTGGGGACACAGACGGAACTGAAATCCCCCGTGTTGGTCCGATGGAGCAAGTTGTTTCGCGCGTCGCAGAATGCGCGCGCGGACGTGGCGCGAATACAGAAAGACCCAAATTCAATCCAAAAAATACTGTCGGGCTTCCCACCAGGCTACCGCCCGTCGTTTGGAGCAAAAAGGTTTTGGCACGCTTCGCGTGTCTCGTTTCCGTATCAATTCTCGCCGTCGCTCACTGGTTAGTTCCGAGTCCGACGTGGATGGTCTCATCCGCGTGGCTCTTTCTTTATGCTCGTCTTCACTCCGCACACGGTAGTGGAAACCCCTGGACTCGTAGCGCTCAAAACGCTGGCATTTGGTGCACAGAATGCGCGGCCAGTGGGGTTCTACTGCCGTCCATGGAATGACGATCAACTCGTTAAATGGCAATAATACCGAGTAAGGTGGGCAGTGCGTATCGATAATAACAAAGCCCGCATCTACGAATCCAGAACAATGATTTTCGGGAGGGAAGTAATACTGTTCGTCGATTCGTGCAACGGCTTCTCGTACGTCCCCCTCGCATACACGTGTTCTTTTCTCACTGTAAGGGAAAGGTCGCGTTGGGATGGGAGATACAGGAGGCTGGCGCCCAGTCGAAGGATGCTTGTCAGTCCACATATCCATCAATCACAAACATTCCGAGACGTCATCAAAAACAGAAATCATTCGCGCAACCCTCAATCAATCCTTCTTGGCATGAGAGAGAGAGAGAGAGGGAGCAAACACAGATCAACTTGATCACGCATATGGCTACGGGTTCGATCAGCCCAACACAACGTTGGTCCCTGGGCGCCTTGTTTCTCAGGGTCGCCTCGTGACTCGGCTGCTGATGTCATGCATCATAAGGCAGATGGCATGCGCAGTGTAAACAGAGCTACGGATCTAAACACTCTTGCATTCTCGAGTAAAATTCCGACGACAATCGTCTAATCAACAAAAGAGTCACTCATTCCCTACATGCATTCACTGTGGAAGGTGCAAAAAATGAGACGTGCACAGGAAAAGATGGATCGCATCACTCAGTACACATGCATCCACTGTTCACAAGACAAGAAAACAGGGTCCTTGCGTAGGAGGATTACCTAGGAAACTAATGGAAGAGTTCCGGAAGAAGTTCCTTCACACAGAATGCCGACTCATTTCCATTCAAGAGCGGGACAATCATTCAGATGCATCATCATTCAAAAGGAGAGAGAGAGAGAGAGCGGGAAAGAGAGAGTCAAATAGAAGATGACAAGATCCAAAAGGAGAAAAGTTCGGTGTCGCCGCCTTACACTCACGCCAAGGGTAACAATCTGCAACTAAGGCGCATTCGCCGTTAATTCCACTATGGCCTCGGGCCATTTACTCACTCAACTCCAATCATCAACCCTCGTATCCGCACCGACGATCCCGGGCGTCGCATGCTAACTCCCACCACTGCGATCGTCACCCCGTTGTCGTAAACTCGACACGATTCGCCCGGATCCCACAGTCCTTTGTGGCGATCAAGCGCGCAACCGGCCAGCCTATCATCAGCCCGACAGGACTTTCCGACTCGCATCAATCCACTCTGCCTAGCCACTGCTTCCCGAAAGTTGGCTCAGGAATTGAGAACGTAAGAGAGATTTGCGGGCGCGCTTTCGGGTTTTATAGTTGCGAGAAATGAGATAGAAGGGGGAGAGAACGACGGGAAGGCGGGGGTGTAGGAGGAGAAGGAGGATAAGACTTTGAGAAGAGCGCTCCGAGAACGCCATGTTGATCCCTCGGAACTCAAGGTTCAACCAATCAGATCCGTCGCGCGATAGGTAGGTCCTATCGATCCACGCACCTGATTGGCGAGCGGGAGTTATCGGGGGATCGATTGGGCGTCGTACGCCAGGCTCAGAGGGTGAGAAAAGAAAAGGCGTGAGAGGTGGCGCAAGACGGGTTCAAGATTCAGATGGTCGAGAAAGGGAAATGGGCGCGCGAAAGCAAGGCGGGAGAGAGAGAGGGAGAAGGAAAAACAGTTACGGGGAGAGAGAAAAAGGAGGGAGAAGGGAAGGGAGGCGCGGGAGGGAGCAATGCGGGGGACAGAGAGGAAGAAGCTTTTGCATGCACGGCACCGTCAACAAAAAAAAGAAAAGGGCACCGAAACAGTTACAGCTTGCTTCTATTCCAATTCAAAAATTGAAATCACCATATCCGCGCGCGAAAAAACGACGCGGGAAAAAAAATCCTACGCCTATTCATATTTACGCAAAATTCCGAGAGTTTTCCCCGACGCGCCCAAGAACATTTACACACCCAAAAAGGACACGTCGAAGTTCCGCTTATCCCGGAGTTCCCAACTACCGAGCCCAATTCCCAGCGCGCTTGCTAGGGCGCGCGCAATTTCCCATGTATTTCCCGACTTTGCAAAAGAAAAAACAGAACTCGGCAGTCGAAAAAGCTCTAAAAAAAAGAGGAAAATGCATCACCGGAAAGCAAGAAATCAAAACGGGTTTTTTTCTGGGGTTGGTAGGATACAAGCAAAAGGAAGGGTATGAAAGATAGCACGGGTTCGTGAAGTGGTTCGTCATAATACCGCTGACGAGGTAACCATCATAGACTACAGCCACAATATACTTACTTGTTTCCCATTTGGGAGTTCGCACAGGGACTTCCACAGCCGCTCGAACTGCTCGGTAGAGACTGGTAGGCTGCTTCCTAGTACAGCAGACCATCTGGACACTGCCACTGTTGACGGTTTTCTAGAGGGTCTGTTGGTCAGTTCATAGCCCAGTCTCGAGTTGTACTCTGAGAGGCTGATTGGTGAGTCCTTTGAACTGTCCAGCACTGCTCTGTTCCAGCTCCAAGCCATCGGGTCTATCCGCAATTGCCTCAGCGCAATGCGCCCAATCCAGGTTAGGACCAGTTGGTTGGCATGCTGGACTGATTCCACTATTCTGGCCTGTGGGGGGTTTACCCATCTCTGAACTGTTCGCTCCCCTTGTTTCGTCAGTGTGTTCCCGTGTCCCTCGCATTTCCACTCCTCCACCTTCCTGAAGCCTCTTGGGGTTATTTCTTTCACTCTCCAGGCCAGCTCATCCTCGCTTAGCACATCGCCCTCTCCCCCACCGTCTGCGACGTACCAGGTACCCACCGGGTCAACCCCTTCTGGGCTTAGGATCTCAAGCCAAGTTTGAGAGAGGGCCTCACGGATGGTCTGCCAATTCTCTTCTACTCTTCTCAGTCCGGAGAGTCGGGTCCTGATAACTGTCCATGGCTCCCAGTTCCCTAGCAGGGATGACCATAAATCCCGGACTCGGGATACGCCTTTCCGCATCCAAGCCAACCCAAAAGAGGATGCGGATCCGTCTGCAGGGAACGACCGTCCGTCTTGATCGAGGAAGGCAGGGTTCTCAAATAGTTGTTGTGCTAGTACTTCCTCCTTGGTGCGA